ATAAGAAAGTTTTGTTCTCTTAAAATTGCAAGCTTGTTTTCTTATACTTGCTAAGATGCGCATGTTAAAAACAAACCACAGTTCAAACATGACCATTAAGTCAAGAATAGAAATATATATCTGTCATTCAAAGTTATTTGTGTATGCATATGACTGTTTGGCTCTTCAAGTCAGCCTGATTGTCCCTGTGCTGCTCTTCAAATAATTAACACTTGATAATGCTGTCTTCTGTGTGTGAATAATTTAGATAAGGAAACATGCAGGGGCAGCAAAATCAGAAGTAATTAAAATGCTTATTTTCACTATCAGTAGCTCCATGGGAGATCAAGCTGCAGGTTGACCTCATCACCTCTGAAGTTTTAACTAATTTCAGCAGAAAACATGTATACTTACCCACTTTGAAATATCATTATATGAAAACACTCAAGACTTTATCACGCACACACAAAATGCAGGACAAAAAAACCAAAACCACCAAAAATCTCTCAAAACCCAAACAAACAACTCCCCCCATCAATACTTTGTTTGGGAAAAAAATACTTTGTTTGGAGCTAAAAAAAGGGATAAAAACGGTGTAGGTGTCATGTAACTACACCAATATGTGAAGAAAGAAAACTGTGGAAAGAGGAATAAAGAGAAAGGCTGTGGGTACTTGGTAACTGCAGAAAGTGCTGAGAATTACTTGCATAAAACTAAGACTACCTCCCAAAGCAACACGGCTATCGAAAACACAATACCAAACACCAAAAAAATTACCTGTACAGGCAACAAAGCAAGATTAAAAGCACACCTCCTCTCTAGCCAAGAAAATGAATAAACATATATCTCAGGAGGCCAGGTGTATGGATAAAACCTAGTCTGTCCTCAAGACACACTTCAGAACTGTTCACCTCCAACCTTAAGCCTTTTTCTGAGCAGCTCCTCCCTTGTCCTGATGCTCTTTTTTTCCAAGGAAATCCTTTATATGTTCTAATCCAAGAAGTTAATCTTACTTATTGTTCTGACAATGAATTGTGAGCATTGTGTTTTCATACAAAGGATGTGAGGTACCTTGCTGTTTAAGACTTTTATCTTGTTTGGCATTAAGGAATTAAGTCCTGTTCCAATCCAGCTGCTTCTTGGTGGCTGACTGCCCTTTGCTGTGGTGGAACAATAGATCAAGACAGTCACACATCTACAGTTGAATTTTTTTCAACCGAATGGTTTTAGTTTATGAAAAAAGGATACTGCTGTTATTTAATGCCTCCATATCCCTTCATTTAAAACATGTTCCGCAGCTGCCAGAATTGTGGTCTAAAACAGATTAACAACAGCAAAAATATTTTGAGTTCTTCCCACTTTTCTTGCTGTAGGAACCTGACTTTGAGGTGGAGCTTTTTGGTACATGGAAAATGCCAGGAAAACAAGCCATTTTTAGCCAGTGATTTTCCATTTGGTTCTACCATTTATTTTTTAGCTTTTAATTTCACACACTACTATAGGGAAAGTCACCATTAAAATTAGGTTAACCTAAATGTTAGTTATGTTACTACTATACTGCTTAACTGAAACCAGTACGTATTTCCTGCTGTTGAATCTTGTTATCAAAGGAGCCTCTGGCCCATCATTCATGAGTCATGCTCATGTTTCTGCATAACCAGGAATGCAGTGCAACAAACCACAGGCAGTTTCTGAGATTTATGTTGTATTCTCCTTGCTATAGCCAGCATAAGCTAGATCCACAAGCCTGTTACTCTAATATTATGTGTGATGCTTTAACCAGACTGGTGGGTGATTCTTTTCTATACCACTCCTCAGGGGAAGGGAATGATAGGAAAAGTGGTGGTTCCAAAATTAGTAGAATTGTATAAAAATACATATATATATATTTCTTCACAAACATGTTTCATAATATATGGGCGTTTTTGTATGTACAGCATACCTTACTGTACGTAAGAAGTTTTTTTGGTTGGAAGAGTATGATGGAAGGCTCTCTGCACATTAACTGTCATTTCAGAATGATGCTAGAAAGCAATCCCTTAAATCTCCAATGATATTTTTCTGACAGACTTATAATCTCTGCAAATTGGTATAAGCAGTGAACAAATCTGTCAGGAATTCTGGCTCTCACAGCTCTAAATTGAAGGAGCATGCAAAGTGCTGCAGGAGATGAGGAAACTGCAAATAGCTTAAGTGCAACCAAAAAAATACAGACCGTAGGAATGCACAAGTGTCTGCCAGAGCTTAACACTGCCTGTGCCTAAGAAGGTTAGACAATTTTGTTACTAGAAGTGCCTCGCTGTCTTATGAAAATTGAAAGTCACTGCAGAAGGAATGGAGGACCTGTGCAAAAACCAGCAACACGTGCTGCTGACCTTTGAGCCCTGACAAATTCTCTTGATCCTACTATTTGAAGGGGCAGTGACAGCACGTTGCTGTGGGCAGAAGCTGTATTGGCTATAAGAGCTTCTCTGCACCCAAGGCTCTACATTGTGCCATGCTCCTTGCCTCCCATGTTGGACCCTGTCGTGATCCCTAGCAGGATGTCAGTGAAGCAAGGGAACTGAAGATGTGTCTTAAGATCCTATATGGAGGCTACTGCACTACACTGTATTAAAGGTCTGAGAAATGCAGATTTCCTGGCACAGGACCAAGTAATCAAGACAAAACCAAATACAGTAGATCTGACAGGCTCACAGTAATCTGGCTAGATGTCACAAGAAATCTGTCTGTTTAATACCTCTGTGTAAGGTTCAAAATTTAGAGAAACCTGGAGTATATTTTTATCCCAATATGAGGGTTCTAAGGCAATTTTTAAATTTTTTTTTTTTTTTTAAAGTTGATAGGACAAAACTGAATGTCCTTTTGAAGCTCCATATAAGCACAAAGAAGGGGCAGGCTCTAATGACTGGGACCTGAGAGTTCCAGTATGTGCTAATGGCCCTGATGGGAGCCTTGCCTGAACCTCTACCATGTAGCTTGCTCCATCTCCCAGGGTATGGGAGTCCCATTTGGGCTCAGCCTGGGCTCAGTCTGTGCCTGAGCTGAGTTAGGGATGTCCCCATCTCCAGCTCTCTCTGGCATGGGTCTTGGACATGCTTGGGGTAAGTGTGTTTCCTGGGTGGATCCCAGGTATATACTGTAGCTTGTCTCCAGTCCTGCCTTTGGTCATGTTGGCAGGATGGACTTTGGACCCATGTTGCAGCTTTGCTTTCATTTTTGTGTGTGGTATCATCTCTTTTCCTCCTGACTGAGCTCCCTGATGTGTCTGGGACTGTTGAAGGACCCTGTCACCAAACCTAGCTCTGCATGATGTGCACAGCCTCTGTGGGACTATGCCCCACGGATGAAGGTGTGTGTTATGCAGGGGTTGCCTGTAGGCTCCTTGCTTGCCTGCAGCAGCGGTTGCTGTTCCTCACCATGCAGCTTCAAAGCTTTGTGTACAGTGTAAGTGCTGCACACACAGCAATGCTGCTGTTTGCACATACATCTAGTCTGATAGCATACACAAATTATATTTTGGCTATTCAAACAGCCAGGTAGAAATGTAAGCCAGCCATTTGAGTGCCCGTAACCAATCATTGTATACAACATTCAGTAGTTTGCAGGAGATTTGCCAATGTCCTTGAGACTTGAACAGTGGAGGTCAGGACTATTGTCTCTGCTGGATATGGAAGATGGAATATTTCCTTTCAGTAGCGATTTTTTTCTCCTTGCAGTGTTTCATCCTGTTGTCAGTTCTGTGTTGGAACACTGCAAGGCCTGGTGTACTGGCTGTAGTTCCCACAATACCCAGGCTCTACCCCAATATTTGCAATTAGCAGGCATTATTATAATCAGGTGAGCTGTTTGAACTAAAAAGCTTCTTATAAAAAGAGTGAGCTTGTCTGCTGCTTAAGTCAGTCATGGGCTCCAGACTGTGTCAGGATTTATTCATGCAAATTAAGAGATTGTACCACAGCGGGTAGTAGAAAACATGAGAATAGTCTCTTTAAATTTTGAGAACCAAAACCGAGCAAGGAAGAGCTATAGATGGAAACTCTAGAAAGACTTATAGCAATGAATTATTTTCTTTAACTTTGTAAGTGTTTTACCTAATTTCAGGCTGAAGTGACACTCCCTGCAGCTTCTTGGCACCCTCACATGACAATGTTTGAGTGTTTGATATTTCAAGAACTGAAAGAGGCCTTCAAGAAATACACTGAATATCTGGAACCTTCCCTGTCCATGTGCTTTTGTGACACAAAATTAAGTTTCTAATCATACTTTTTCCTTCTGTGAGACTCCAGCCTGGAAAATTTCAGTGCTGTCAGGAGTTTCTTCTCTCTATTATAAATTTTTCTATTATAAAAATATTGAAACAAAGCTCAGTTTTGAGAAACTTCTGGTTGAGTCAGAATAGTTTCCAGCAGAAGACCCTTGCTTGGGCTTAGTCTGTAACCACCATTCTGATTGCAGTCTCCATCTCGGTGCAGCAGGGGTCTGGGCTGTCAAATTTACCCAGCTTCTTGGCATTGGTTCTTGTCTTCCTCTGTCCCCTTGCGAGTGGAGTTCCCCAAATCCTCACTGACTAGGTTATCTGCTGCAGCCCCATGGACCAGCTCCCAGACTGGTTTTGAAAGACAGCTCCACCTTGGCTGGGCAAAGGAAAATAGTTGGGCTGCAGTGCCCTGCTCAGGGGTGATCCTTTGCAGGTGCATGAGACCAGACTTTGCCTGAGATCAAAGTCTGGCAACTTTTTCTGAACATCCTCAGAAACCTTTAATTCTGGACAAAAAAAGTTAATAAATACATGAAATCCACATGCTCTGTGTTTGCCTGTACTTCACCAATTTTCAGGGACTGAATCCAGCAAGTGTAGTTGTCTCCAATATGCCTAGGTGTAACACCACTAAGAACAATTTTACTTAGGTATGTAATGACAGATCATTATTTTAAGCAGTTAGGGTTGGAAAATCTGGAGCAAGTGTTAGCTCTCTTGATCTTTTTATGCTGTCTCAACTCATCACTGACATTTGCATTGCAGGAATGAGGAGTGAACTGGGGAAATCCAATATATGAACACTCAGAGCTTGATTTCAAAGGATTCACAAAGAATCACTCTGACAAGGTATTATATCTTACACGTATTACTTCATTCTTTTTTACCAGTGCTTTTTCCATCAGATAGACATCTGTTTGTAAGATGGCTCATAATACTGAAGCAAGTCAACAGGAAGGGGCAAGTATTCTGCAGTAATCTGTTCCTTTTGTGGGGAGAAAATTCCCTTGGCATAGCACATTCCAAGATCCATTCTACCCCCTTCCTTCCCACTTCCCTTTTGATATTGTTTGAAGGATTAATAAAGCTTCTTTTATAAAACTTCTCTTTTTGGAGGGGACTGGGGGAACAAGTCAAGCTAAAGATGATATTAAATTGTCCCTGTTAACTCTTGGAAAGATACTACCTGTGCCATAGATTGCAAGCCAGTTATGTAGGAACATCAGGTCTCGAGTCCTGTAAAACTCCAACACTGCTGTCTGCAGAGTAATACAGCTGATAAACTGTGACATGCTATGGAAATCACTGGAAATTTGTTTCTTATCTAGGTTGTTGTTTCGTACTGAAGAGTTATTCCACTATTACAAATGGTGTTCTGAGAAGCAAAATTATTAATTAATTTCCTTAGAGCCAACATTTTCTTGTTTTCCTGGGAAATACAGGAATCCTTCTGCAAGAGGATTTTTTTAGTTAGCAGTCACTTGCCTGATCTAGTGTTTGGGGTTACACTTGAGTAGCGACTGACTTTGGTGACCTTCAGAGGTCCTTCCTTAATGTTTCTATGATATTCTGCTATAGTACAGTTTTAAAATGAGTTTACTACATCTCTTCAGTGGAACTCAGTCAGTCTTATTTCCTGCACCATCCCAGCTGTCTCCCTCTCACATCTCATGTCACATGTTTTCATAGAATTATAGATTGGTTTTGGTTGGAAGCAACCTTTAAAGGATAATTAGTTGAATAACCCTGCAATGAGCAGGGTCATCTTCAGAATCACAGAATGGGTGAAGTTGGAAGGCACCACAGTGGGTCATCTGGTCCAGACTTCCTGCTCAAGCAGGGTCATCCTACAGCACATTGCACAGGATTGCATCCAGATAGTTCTTGAATATCTCCAGTGAGGGAGACTCTACAACCTGTCTGGACAATCTGTTCCAGTGCTCAGTCACCCACACTGTAAAGAAGTTCTTCGTTATGTTCAGTGGAACTTTCTGTGCTCCAGTTTCTGCCTGTTGCTTCTTGCTCAATTGCTCAGCACTACCAAGGAGAGCCTGGATCCATCCTCTTGGCACTCTTCCTTCAGACACTTATTGTCCTGGTTCCAGCCAGGACAGGGTTAATTTTTGTAGTAGCTAGGAGAGGGCATGACTAGGACACAGAGGTTATTCTGTACCACCTCACATCATTGCCAGAGGCAGGGGAAAGGGACTCTTGCTTCCAAGGAGAAGGTTCTTTCTGGTCGAGAAAACATCATGGGGGAAGCCATCTGGTATTATTTGTTGCTGGGGGCTTTCCATATAAAATGTTTCTTTCTCTTATACCTTCTGTTATTAATATTGTTGCTGTTACTGTTTGTTTTCTTATCTCATTGCTGTTTCCAGTAAGTTGTTTTTACCTCAACCTGTGATCTTTGCCTTTGCGCCTCCAGTTGGAGGAGAAACAATGCACGGTTTTTGCAGGAGTACTAAATTGAAGAATACCATTCCTAAATCACAACACTTATATAGAGTGAAGAGGTCCCTTCTCAGGTGTCTCTTCTTGAGGCTGAACAGGCCTTGATCCCTCATCCTTTTCTCATAAGAGAGATGTCCAGTCTCTTAATCATCTTTGTTGCCCTCTGCTGGACTTGCTCAAGGAGCTTCATGTCTCTCTTGTCCTGAGGAGGCCAGAATTGGACACAGCACTCCAGATGCAGCCTCACTAGAGCTGAGTAGATAGGCAGGATCACCTCCCTTGACCTACTGGCAATACTCTTCTAATGCAGCCCAAGGTACCATTGGCCTTCACAGAATCATAGAATCACAGAATCATTTAGGTTTGAAAAGAATGCTAAGATAATGAAGTCCAAACTTTGATCAATCACCACCTTGTCAACTAGACCATATCATTAAGTGCTATGTCCAGTTGTTTCAAGAACACCTCCAGAGATGGTGCCTCCAACAGCTGTGCTGGGCAGCCCATTCCAATGCTTAACAGCCCTTTCCATGAAGAAATACTACCTGATGTCCAACCTGAACCTCACCTGACACAGCTTGAGGCCATTTCCTCTAGTCCCGTCCCTAGTTAACTGTGAGAAGAGGTCAACCCCCACCTGGCTACAACCTCCTTTTAAGTAGCTCTAGAGAGTGATTAGGTCTCTTCTCAGCCACCTTTTCTCCAGAATAAAAAAAACCAGGTCCCTCAACTGCTTCTCATAGGATTTACCCTCTAGATCCTTCAGCTTTGTTGCATTTCTCTGAACTTGCTCCAGCTCCTCAATGTCTTTAATAAGTGAGGGGCCCAGAACTGAACACAGGAGGTGCAGCCTCACCAGTGCCAAGTCACAAGCTGCCCAGAATTTATACATTTATATAAGACTTTTCAAAAGCCTTTTGGTTTGTTTTGACCTTGAGTTTGCATCTGGAGAAAATGCTGATATGCTTTCTCTAAGAGAATTTCTTTTAATTTGGTGAGAGAAATAAGACATTTTGGCAAAAGAGTTTTACATATAACATATAGCAGGTAACATATAACTGAAGAAAGGCATTTTACTAAAACATCCAGCACAGAGACCCATTCCACAGAAAACACCCACCACAAACAATCAATATACCAGCTTTAGTAAAACACAGTTCATTGGTTTTAAGTACCCACAAGAGAAATAAAAGAGTAAAAGAAGAAAACAGATGGAGAGAGTAAAGAAAGAAGAGAGAAAAAAAGGAGAGAGAGGATAGAAAAGGCAAGATTTGCTGGTTCACATGGTGCCGACTGGAAGACAGGAGACAGGAGAGGAGGAGACAGCTCGCCTGGAGCCTCATGCATTTATATAAATTGGTTTTGCTTCTCAGGCAGGATATCTGGTCATTGACCACTCAGTGTCTTCCTGGCCAGAGTGAGGTGTGCTGTAGCCAACCAGAGTCTCCAGGGAGTGTGGTGTGGGTGGGCTACCAGGCAGGTCTGCCTTGACTGACAGCTCAGCTACAATGGCCGTCAGCTCTGCCGCATGCTCTGTGTGGGTGCAGCCTGTTGGCTGCAGGCCTTCTGGCTCTACCACGGGCTCTCAGGGGTCCTGGCCCTGTTTGCTGCAGGCCATGTGCTCTCCGCAAGCCTTAGCCCAGCTCTTCTCCCCCCCTAGCCCCCAGTCCCCCCCTTCCCCCTGCAGTGAATTGGCTCTGACCCATATCAGTATATAATTCAGTGTGATTCAAATCCAGTATCTCACACAGACATCAGTTGTCTTTTTTTCTCAGCCTTTGTTCTAGCAGATCAATTGGTCCAGACTCATTTAGTCTTATCTGCATGCTGATGGCCTTTCACAGTACCTTTCCTAGTTTGAGTTAATCTTCACATTCATGACAATACTGTTGGCAGAATTCAAGAAGTGCTGCAGCTCAATTCTTCTACAATGGCACTAATGATTCTATCATTAAATACTTCCTGTTATGTCCTAAAAGAGCATTTACTTTGTTTTGTGGTTGTGTTTCGCTGATGGCATTAGCTAACATGCCTTGTAAATTCTAAATGATCTTCTGTGAGGTTATAGAAGAAGTTCTAGGCATTTCTTACATTTACATTATTTTGTACCTTGTATGAATTCATTTAATCAGCCTGAATTATCCCTGATCTTAAGGTCATGTAGTAATTTCTACATGATATTTCAATCTTCCTGCATTGATAATGATTTCTACTATTATACCATGTGTACTTTTCATCAACATATCTATGCACTCAGATGAGTTCTATAATGACCTTATATTTTCTGGTTGTTTTCACTCATTTTCTACTGAGTATTTTTTGTAAACACTTTGCTGGACACTTTTTTCACCTAATTTCCAGCATGCACCCTTCTCCCTTCTATTTGCAAATAAATTATCTTTATGTTCCTCTGCTGATTGCTACCAGCTATTCAAATATGTCCTCCAGACAGTTTCCAATGAAGGAAATAGTACTAATAAGGAAGAAAAGTTGAGAAAGCAAGAAGCAGCCTTCCCTTCCCATTCTTCCGCTCAAAAAACAGGCAAGCAAGAAGTACTAAAATGTCATAGTCGCTTTTGTGGTCATGCACTCATTTATGCTCAGAGTCCTATTTGGGAAAAGAAACGAAAAAATGATATTAGTGAGCTGCTGTTCTGTTTTCCTGCTTGTTTGCTACGTCCTCCAACACTCATCCTAAGCTATACGATTCACAGGCTTCTTGAGATATGAACATCTTTACTGTTAGTGTCTGTATTTCTGTATTTTTTTAGGATGGTCTTGAGAACTCTCTTCTGAATATCCCCACCTCCCAGTTTTTAAAAAATGTTTTCCTTAGAGCAGGTTGCAGCATTTGCAGTAGCTGCAGAGTGCTTGGAGCAGGAAATCTGATTTGATTCTGGTATGTAGCCTGAAGGTGGTCCTCCAGAGTCAGCATGTCAAAATGTTGTGTAGGGAGGTCCTCTCTTCCTTAGGGCCTGACTGTGGTTAAGTGATGAAGAGATGAATGTAATTTAATATATAACTATGTATCAAAATGTATCAATTGCCTTTTACAGGTGGAAATTAATTGCATGACACAAGCTAGAAACAAGAGGGTTTTTTCTCTGTTTATTGGTGGAGGACCTTCTAGCAGCATAGTAGCATTGACAAACAGTAGACTAAATCAGAATCCTGGGACATGTCAGGTGGCAATTGATGTACTTATATGAAACCTTTCATTCTAAATGGGAAAATTCACATTATAAATTTAAAAAAGCTGTCTCCCTTAAGGATAAAATATATCTTCTTTATTAGAATGGAATCTTTTGCTGCAGGGATAATTGAGGAAACTGATGCTAACCTTCTTGATTTTGTTTCTGTTGAAAGGAAATATCACTGGCTTCAGTGGAGCTGTCACTGAGCTATATAAAGGTAATGACACGAAAATCAGTCCTTCTATAAGTTTCAAACTTGGCCTATCATGTTAAATAGTTCAATGAAAGAACATGGGTTCTATTAGACTTCTGCAGGGAATAACTCTGTGAAACATGACTAGTACTATTTGAAATATTGTGGGGATCAGCTCTGCCTGCTGTCCTGGAAGGAGCAGGGAGCAGGGAGCCCTGAGTCCAGGGCAAGACAGACAAGGTTGTCCAGGAACTTTTCTGCTCCTTACAAACCTTGACCAGTCTCACTGCACCCTTGCTGAGCTTTTGTCACTTTGGAAGCAATGCTCACTGCTTCCCCGTCAGCAGAATGGCACAGGGAACTTACAAGGAACTTGTAAATAGTCCAAGTGAAGCATGACTACCATGCAGCCGAACTAGCAGCTTCTTCTTGAAGGAGAAAAGAGGATGTTTGCTCCCACTGCACTGGCCTGTGAAAGAAATACACTGCTTTTCGTAAAGGGACACATCAGTTCCATGCCAGCTTTCATACCTGTAGTGTATTACTCACTGATTGCTGATACAACCCACGGTCTCTAATTGCTCAACTGATTTTTCTTCTTTCCACACCCCTGCCCCCCAGTCTGTTATATAGACTGGAAGCTGCTGACCTTCACCATGTTGAGCAGTACTTGTTATTTATCAATAGAACTGAATTTTCTTTGAACTTCTTGTAGGATTCAACTCTTAAAAAATTGATAAATAGGGATCTGATGTGGAGGAGCTAGACCAGCCAGACGACTTGCAGGAAGATGTGGAGTACTGTGGGGAATCATAAAAGGGCATGACAGATGGGCCACTTCCCACTGCTTCTTCTGAAGAGTCTAACCCTGATTTGTAAAACAGAAGGTCTGAATACTCCTGCCCAGGTACCTGCTGAATAAGATTTTCTCAAGGACTAAAGTGTGATGTTGTATTGGTAAATGTTTAGGAGCCTGAATCCTATGAAGATGTCTAAATTGTGGGCTGCTGCTATGCCACATCCACTGTTGCTGGAGAATTCTTGTGTGTATTCTTCCATTTCACTAACTCAAGACACAGAAGAGTGATGTAACTGTCATGATTTGTTTTAAAGAGTAGGATTATCCTAAGATGAGAGTAATTACAACTTTTCCCTCCAGCTACTCATGTGAAAGCAATTTGGATAAAGCTTGGAAAAAAAAGAAAGCAGTATAGAACAGAAGGAACAGAAGAAGGTTATGTACATAATCACTAAACAGTTCAAATAAAAATTTCAAAGAGGTTAATGCATCTAGTCAAAGTCAATCTTCTATCCTCCATGTTTTCTTTCACTGCTGATGATTAGAATATAGGGTGAATTCAGAATTCGGGTGAGATGAACTTTATTATACTAACTGTGTAACTAAACATGGTTTAATGGATAAAACTGCTTTGAGGAACCAATGTGTATTTGGATGGATAATTCATACACTATAAAACTGTTCATCTGTCTAACCAAATCTACAATTAAAAAGATTCAGGACATGATCCTACTTGTATTAAATCAATTATAAAGCTGTCCTGAACTTCAGTGGGAGCAGAATCAGGGTATAAGTCATGAGTATTGCAGCCTAAAATGGAAGATTTTTAAAACTAGGAATGAGGCAGCACAAGGCAGGCAACTGGCAGCTCATAGCCTGTAGACTGGGCCATTAAACATGTTGCTCTGCATCATTCCCATCCAAAGGTGACTGGCTTTGTGCTGGAAAGCAGAGTTTGCGATATGCTCCGTGACCAGCCTTTCTAATGGCTGAGATTTGTTCTACAAAATGTTAAATAATGAGTTTATGCCCTTTCCTTTAAGGGGTCACTCAGCTTTTAGGTAAAAGGTGAAACAGGTTAAAAGAGTGTCTTTCAGACTTTAAATCTAGATGTATATACTTTGTAAAGGAATTTTTAAAAGTATATGTCTCAGACACAGAATTACTGTGAAATTGGTTACCTCTATGCAGTTAAAAGTGCTGACAGACACTTGCTGCAGAAATGTCCCAGCACTTCTGTCAGGGATGCAGAGAGGTGCACAGGAGAGTGTGTTTGTTAGAGATGGGAACCCTGGCATATGGCCCTTCATGCTTGGTTCAAAATGCCTGCAGACTTGTCCATCTCCATGAAGCTGAAAAACAAGTCTGCAAACTGGTTGTTATTTGATTCTCTTGTTTTGTCTGTGAGCCATTCCTCAGGAAAAAGACAGAAGAAGACGACTTTTATACACCTGGAATAAAAACTCATGTGTATAGCACCTCTTTCTCTCCATTTCTCTAATTGTTTTATTTAAAGCCCTCCCTGGACCAAGAATATTTTTTAAACATCTCACATACCCTATCAAAATTAATTTCTCTGAGGTTCAGGGCACTGTCTGTGTAGGACAATGGAAAAAGTGCCAGCAGAAATAAATGTACAGTCTTGACTTTCAGATAGCTGAAGGCAAAAAAATCCCAATGGATTTTGTTTAAAAATATTTTCAAAAAATAATGAGAAATAGGAAAAGTGCACCAAAAGACACAGAGTGCCAAGTAATTTAATAGGGTTTTGCAAGCTTAGTTTACAGTAAATGTCACTTGCATGCTAAAAACTGCTCTGAGGGATTGGTTACTTTAATCTTGATGTACAAGAAAAAGCCTCTGTGTTTTAGAAGAGTGAATGGTCCAAGAGTTTACATCTCTCACCAAAGTGAACAGAGAAGGCAAAGTAAGGTGGTTTTCCTTATAAACAATTTAGAACTAGAGGGGCAATTAAAAGAATAAATAGGAGCTGTTGAAAATGTAATCTAAAACTTAAGCAGCCCTTCCATGACAAGGGTTTTAAAAAACCTTTTCACTAAACTAGTGCTAAGAGGAAAAGTCAATTACAGCAATAGTGTAAAAGAGCAGATTGTCAAAGAATAAGTTTCTAGCAAAGAAATGATCAAAATTTGTAAATTTTTCAGGCAGATCCCAAGGACATCATAATGACTTGAAGCAAATGAATCATCTCTCAGCTGTAGTATTGGGTGGTATTTGAAAGCTCCATCTTTGAAATCCAGGAAAAAACCCCACAGTGAACACTTCTTCTGGAAAAGTCCCTGCAAAGCAAGCACGGAAGTTCAATGTAATACATTAGGAAACTAAGACAACTTCTTGGCCGGTTTTGGAGGATTTTCTGGGAGAAAGAAAAAGCTCTTGAGAAAGCTCAGTACTACACTGTGCAAAAGACCCAGCTTATTTTGTTCCATGAGAATCTTGGGAGATGAAAACAATTCAGATCTTACCATCTGCGTTTTGTTTTGTGACAGGGATTCCTTATGCCAGGAGGACAGGATTTGACAAAAAAGTCCTGGGTCCAGGACCTCTCTCCTCCGTGGCCTAGGCCCAGGGGAGGAGTTCTAGACCAAATGTAGGGGAGGGGACACTGTGGATTCTGCTTCCTCACATGTAGCTTTTGTCCATCCTTAAATCCCTTGTTCTATTGTTAATGCTGTAAAATGAGAACAAAATTTGAGCTTCAATTCTTACTGCAATGGAAATGGGTAGGCAATAGCATTTACGAATATAGATGAACAATGTCAACATGCATGATTTTGAATTGGCCTCAATTCATCTTCATATTTGACTGTCCCACAGTACTACTGAGAAATAGCAACATGTATTCACTGTAAAAATACTTTCTGTATTATGTAGCTATCCCATTTTTTCAGTGTGAATAAGTCTCTTAAATTTCTTCCGTAAATTCTGTGTCTTGTTGCAGTTGCAGGTCAAGAAGAATTAATCTCCTACATACAGATCACAGCTCTCAGTTCAGCTCTATAATAGAAATGTTTATAGGTATAATGTATAGCATGTTTTCCTTAGCAGCCTGAAAAATTTAAATCCACATACTAAATACTTCTATGTCTCTCCAAATGCTTATTAGTTTGGTGTTGTTTACTAGGTCAGCTTCCATAATTCTTGTCATTTTCTTGGTAGGATTGCAGGTTATTAAAATTTCTTTCTGCTTAGTGATGTTTGGAATCTTTTCTTCTTTATTGCAAAAACAGTTTTAACACTTGTTATTTCACTTAGAAGGGACTAAAAGTCCAACAGTGATTTTACCATTTTTTACATATTTTAATAGAATATGTCATGTAAATGTAAGATAATCAACAGAGACCAATTTGAGCCTAAAGGCACAAATCACAGTGCATATTAACCAAGAAAGAAAATTATGAGCTACAAAGAAAACAAAACCTTTATGACAATTGTACTTTACAGAAAGATGGAAAACCTGATTACAGTCTTGCTTCTTCCAGTCGAATAATAATATCCCTGAATCTGAAACAGATGTGAAACTAATGCAGGACCACAATCCCGTCAAAAGGACAGTTCAATATGCACCGATAATAAAACCAAAAACAAGTCAGAGAAAGTCATATAAAGTGATTATCACATCTAGCAGATTATTTCATTTCTGTTCATTATCTACTTTTCTGTGCAAAAAGCATCAACGCAAACATTTTAATAATAAAAAAAAGAGATGCTGTAATTCTGCAGAACACTTCCAGTGAAGATGGACAATAGTTTAAGCTTATGTCTACTGAAACAATTATGTTCCCCAGTAAATAAATACATAATTTTACCTCAAGTGAATATTTTCTTTTGCAGGCTGTTATCTTGGAGACCAGAAGAAGCCAAACATACATATCTAAAATTATATGAATGGGCTAGAAAGTACTGCTGTTAAATCCCCTGTAGAGCCTCACCCATTGCCATGTCCCATAGCACCCTCTTGTTGAGAAAGGAGGTGGCAGATGAGGGCTTGGAGGTATTTTGCTCTAAGTCACATTTGCTGTATTCTTTGTGAATGGTCACTGTGGGCATCCAGTTCCTTTCTCTTGGCTTAACAAAACCACTCCAAAATGATACCATAGAGCCCCAAATTTTCCAAAATGTGCTCCATAGGCTCAGGATAGGGAGGGGTGAGTGAAAACATTTTGGAATGAAGGGAAAACCGGCCAGGAGGAAGAGACATTTTAGTCCCTCATTGTAAATTGTTGGTGTTAAAGATTTCAGGACATACCTTTCAGGTCTAAAAGACAATAAAAAATATTTCTACTTACATTTGCTCAGGCAAAGTCGTGGTCCTTTATGTTACAATATAAGGTTCTTTTGGTGGGCTCCTAATTACTGTGATGCTTGGCCTATCTTTGGTTTTATGACTGCATGACCCATTTGTATTGTCATAATCATGCAGAGAATTTTGAAATGAACAATTGTCACTTGCTTTCTTTTCTATTTCTGGACTACGAACCTAGGGCCAAGACAGTAAATTTACATATAATGTACAATGCAAGGGAATGTAATGAAATTTATGCAAGAAGAATGCCAATCAGCTCAACAGTCACCAACTTTCCACCCATCAATGCACCTTAGATGTAATAGAGAAGCTGTAATGTCCTCTTTTGGAATGAGAAAACCTGCTTATTTGTGGGAGGAAGATTCAGCACAGTAATATCACCCTTCTGCATTTCCAGACTTGTGTAGTCTTTAGAGAAATCTTTGCTCCACAACTTGCCTTGATTTCCTGTTAAAATATTGTACCGTAGGATGTGCTAATTATGTGTTTCTACAGGCTAGTTGGAAGTTAGTTATCACACTCAAATGATAAGATACTACTGAAAATATTTTCAAGAGTTTGCACAGGCCAGGCTGGCAGGATGCTGCTCTGTGATGCCTGACTATGCTCTCTGTAGGCCAACATCCAGGTGAGGTAACAAGCTGCATAACACTGCACACAGTTCTGAAGGAGTGTGCCTTTAAATACATTCCCTGAAAGCACCAAACAAGCACCTTTTGAATAGCAATTGCAAATGAGAAAATTTTTCGGAGGAGAAAGAATCCCTTCTGTCATGGAAAGCTTCCCTTTGCCTCCTAATAAGAAATCCAATTTATGGTCAGTGTGCCCCCTCACTCAGTATCCTTTTCTTTGTACTGTCTTAACGACTTACCATGGGTTTCCTGGTCAATCAGTCAATTCCCATGCCCCTCCTCCTCCCCCATTCCCCTGAGCTACTTGTTAAACTGTGGCCTTACAGTAAGGAATTCCAAACTGAGGGACTTAATTTTCTCTGCAGGATGTGACCCTGTGCGTGAATAGGCACTATTTCTACTGCTGGAAGAGCCTACAGTATTTCAGATCATGACAGCAAGTACTTAATGAGCCTGGTCCTCTGGAATTCTAAATGTGGTTCCTTGAATTGCCCTACAAATTAGAGGTCTCCAGTTTTATCCTGCAGCGTAGCAGGTGTTGAGCTCACAGAGCTGCTCTTTGTGATATGAACCAAGGAGAAGAAGGGATATTATTGGGGAGTACCAGGCAGATAAACCAGAAGGCAGAAGTCAACTCCCACTGAGTGCTCTTCTAAGCCAGAATAACATAAATTTTTCCCAGCACTGAGGGGAAGATACGGACTCTGTTACAAGCTTGCCTTTTTTTGGTAATGGCTACAGATGGAGGGGCTGCTGCCATGCTACACAGTTCTCATCAATGTAGACAGACTGAGACTGCTTTCTGTCATCTTGTTTCAAGGCAAGTTATTAATACTTTTTGCTCTTATTAAGCTCTAATACCATAGTGCTGAACAAGATAACAGGAGACTTTTTTCACAAAATGCTTGTTTCCTGTCAGTTATTAGGTCCTTTGCAGGCAAATGTTGGCCATTACTTATAGAAATACCTCACACAACCCAAAATTTGATCTGAATTGTAAATGAAGAAAAAAAAAAGGTGAGGGGGAGGGAAGTACCCTCATACATAAATCAGTCTTGTTAACAAAGTTTTATTCCTGTGAATATTGGTCATTCTTTTGTTATGGATGTGGATGTTTTTCTCTCTTGTGGAGAAGGAAAGGTCATCTGTAAGCCAAACTGCTGAACCTATACAGAGTCCTGACTGTAAAATATAGTCTGTCTGGTTTGCTTTATTTTCTCTGTCTGTGAATCAATATACCTGCATTGATTAATAATGTTCTTATACATCTCACACAGCTCTCTCTATAAAGAGTAGTTCCACTGAATTATGTCTTATAGTGTATATTAATTTGCTTATCTCTGTATACTATCTTATAGTTAGCTCCTTTGTAGCTTGTATTACAAATGTTAAATGGATGATTTTTCAAGCATTTGCTTTTACCTCTCCTCTCTCCACTACCGCACTCATATTTACAATGTAATAAAGTAATGGCATAAATATTGAGGAATTATTTTTACTGAGGGTTTTTTCTGTTTACTTAGCATTTTAAAATGGCTTGCCCACCTGCCTTCAGTTTATACATAGTCATTTTGGCTGATTATTTCATATACTGTACTACCTTTAGAAAAAAACTCGCCTGTGACCATAGTAACTGTTTGATTAGGCACAGTTGAGCACATGAGTTCATTTTAATATAGCTGGAAAAAATGGATAAATGATCTTGAAAACTCCTGAAATCATTTGGGTTATTATTGGCTTTCATTTTAGGTTCAACAGAGAAAGAATTGCTCATAGCCTCTCTTTCTTTCTTTCAATGTGTTTTTTTTTTCCTTCTTATTTCAACTTAGTAGATGTGGGCTGTAAAGCATTTATGTAAAAGTATTTGGAGGTTTTCCATGGGCAGCTTGTCTTCCTGAAGAGAAAAAGCTATGTATAATAAGATTTGCCGAACCAGGAGCAACAGTGCAGCATTCTTGTCTTCTCTATTACACCAGAGAGAATGTGGCCCCCTCTAACCCAATTTCCCTTATACTGTGTTACGGCTTGGCCCAAAATCTTTGCAAGCCAGGTGGAATTGGGCTGTAATAACTTGAAGAAGGGCAAAGAGGGTCAGAGGAAGAAGTATTGATCCCACTCAGCTGTCCCTTTACCTTCATGGAGACTATGAAGAGTATTTCCTCATGTCCAGGTGTGCAAAGTATTTTCTGGGACAGGTATATCCAGAAAGCAGTCCTGAAAGGATTTCCTTTGCAGATGTTATTGTGTTGTTGATGCTGTGGTAACTCAGCCATCATAATGATCAGAGAAAGAATAGAAAGTACCTACTTCCTT